CACCGAAGATGAAGAAACATGAGCGTGATTCTGGGATTGTGTGAGACAGAGATGGAGAGAGAAGGTATGTATAGAAAAAACTCCAACGGGCAGCGAAGGCAAGGTTGCGGCCGGCTGCCCCGCCGGGAAAACAATATATAGGTCTAAATCTTATAGCTCTGATACCAAGTAAAAAAAAAATACTGTATTATTGATTGATATTGATTGATCTATTATTTTCTGTCTATTACAAATAGTTCCTTATATAGATGTAGGTGTAGTGGATGGTGTGTAGTGGATGGTGATAGTGGTGTAGTGGGTTTTAGTGAGTAGGTGAGGTGGTAGTGGGTGTAGTGGGTTAGGTTTAGTGGATGTGGTTTAGTGGAGTAGGTGAGGTGTAGTGGTGGTAGGTGATGGTAAATTCTAACAATTATTGTACTCCTTTACTCTTGATAGCAACTTAAATGTTCTGGAACTTGAGATTGGACGCTCAAAGCAGTATCTAAAGTTTCCACAAAAGTTTTGTGCCTTTTATGTGATTTTAACACCTTGAAAAAAAGAAAATGGGAAAAGTGGCTGTACGCTCTTTATGTAAATAGAAATGTAATAGAAATGAGCCGAATAGAAATGTAATAGCATAATGCTTGTAGTGGCTGTACGCTCTTTATGTAAAGGTGGTAGGGTTGCAAATGAGCCGAATTGAGTCAAGTTTTACAATGTTCGAGCTCAGCTCAATTTTTTACAAGGTGTTTGAGCTCGAGCTCGGTTCGTGGTGGCTTGTTGGCCAAGAAGAAAACCATGGAAAGCATTAACCTACTGCACTTATATATTATTTTCTCCCTTGAAATGTATTATGCAAGTGATGTGGCACAACCAAACATTTCAAAGGATGCACCAAAGGCCACTATGTCTCAGTTGCACTCTTTCTGATGATGAGCCCAATCAAGAACATGAAAGAGAAAATGTAGAGAGAAATCTCAATCAAATCAATGTTTATTATTCCAAAATTAGTTACAAAGTGGTTATGCCTCTTCTAGATATAGGCTACAATTTCCCTCCACTAACTATCACATGCTTGCACATGATATCCCACCAAGCGGAAGCTTTTCCTTTTAATAGAATGGCAATAAGCTTGACCTTCTTCTCATCGAAAAACCTCACCATATCAAAGATCCGCTCAATAGTGTTGAGCCAATCAATAAATTCGTCGGGATTAAGGCTTCATGAAAGTCGGGAACTCAATCTTGATATTGTTTCCCCAATTTTGTTCCATCCTACCACATTTTGTTCGACACCTTTGCGGAGCCCAAAAGAGATTATCAAAGAACGACGAGTACCACCCTCGGTATCATCGGAACCATCACTATCATTGGTAGGAGGAGGAGGAGACGTTGCACCATCTCAGTTAGAATGGCAATTTGCCGTCTCATCTCGGCATTTCATCTCTCGATATGGAATCCCATTACCCTTGAAATCATCACCACAAATCCGGGCATAACCCCTACCATGACCACCCTACGATCTCGACCTCGACCTCGTTGAGTCATTGAACCCCAAATGTGCAAAGTCACAACCCAATCAGACAATTTAAGAACAATAATAGTACAGCCCCAAACAGTCCAGCAGTTCAGATATTTCAAGTAGTGCATAGCGTTCAAGAACAGAGTACAAGCAACGTGATCAAATCAAATTCCAAACTAGATATAGATAAAAATCAACAACAGGTTCAATGAATGAAATCAAGATCAGATCCAGAAATCAAAGGTTGCATTGAAAGTTATCCTACGAGTACTTGAGAACAAGAATAAACTGAGAGGCAGTTGAACAACTTCAACAGGGCTCATCTACGACCCAGAAGTTCTCTGCAAGCTCATCTTGGCGAGGTCGAAACCTGATTGCAAGTCGCGATCACCGAGTCTTTCAACCTGTTTAGAATTTACCACTACCTACCAATTTACATCAACCTACCACCACCTACTCCTCCACCTACTCTCACTACTACACCATCCCTCTCCTATATATGAGCCCCACACCTTGTAATATAAAAATCAATCAATCAATTCATTCAATAATAATACATCATTTTTTTACATGGTATCAGAGCAAGGTTAAGACTTAAGTGATTCCCGCTTCACCGGCGGGCCGGCAGCCTCGCCTTGGGCCGTCCGCCGGACAAACCCGAATTTTTCTAATTCTCTCTTCTCTTTCTCTATACTCTAGCTCCTCCTTCTAAAACTCCTGTTTTTTGTAGTGTTTCTAGAGAGAGAAAACAACTCCAATGGCTTTACCCGAGCGTAGTGGGTGGCTGGATCTGCCATCAGCTCAGCTCCGGCAGCTTCACACGGAACGAAATCTCCGATGGCGTC